TTTAGAGTGTTGTCCTTACTTAGAGTTTCAGGGTAGATAGGACGCTTTAGTTTAGAGGGTTGTCCTTAATTAGAGTTTCAGGGTAGATAGGACACTTTAGTTTAGAGGGTTGTCCTTACACAGAGTTTCAGGGTGGATAGGACGCTTTAGTTTAGAGGGTTGTCCTTACTTAGAGTTTCAGAGTAGATAGGACGGTTTAGTTTAGAGGGTTGTCCTTACTTAGAGTTTCAGGGTAGATAGGATGGTTTAGTTTAGAGTGTTGTCCTTTCTTAGAGTTTCAGGGTAGATAGGACGGTTTAGTTTAGAGTGTTGTCCTTACTTAGAGTTTCAGGGTAGATAGGACGGTTTAGTTTAGAGTGTTGTCCTTACTTAGAGTTTCAGGGTAGATAGGACGGTTTAGTTTAGAGTGTTGTCCTTACTTATAGTTTCAGGGTGGATAGGACGCTTTAGTTTAGAGGGTTATCCTTACTTAGAGTTTCAGGGTGGATATGACGCTTTAGTTTAGAGGGTTGTCCTTACACAGAGTTTCAGGGTGGATAGGACGCTTTAGTTTAGAGGGTTATTCTTACTTAGAGTTTCAGGGTGGATATGACGCTTTAGTTTAGAGGGTTGTCCTTACACAGAGTTTCAGGGTGGATAGGACGCTTTAGTTTAGAGGGTTGTCCTCACTTAGATTTTCCGGAAGGATAGGACGCTTTAGTTTAGAGGGTTGTCCTTACTTAGATTTTCCGGAAGGATAGGACGAACGCTTTGGCTCCGAGGGGTTTTCTTAGTTAGTTTTTCGGGAGAACAGGTCACTTTAGCTCCGAGGGTTGTTCTTGGTTAAATTCTCTAAATGAATGATGAGAATGAATGAGGAAGGATTTATAATTGAATTTTTATAAAATTATGAATTTAGTATGACAAATATCCCCGACATAGATGAGAATAAGACCGCTATCTCCTAGAATCCTGCTCCTTCAATTACCAGGATTAACACTAGTATCTTGTAAATATTCATAGATAAGCTTTTATGGCTTTATAGACTACACTTGGCAGTTTCACAATATTTATTGGTTCAAACTAGTTTATCTTCCTTTACCGTCTTCTTTTAATTCTATTATACTTTATTTTATTTTGAAGTTTATTAAATACTGATTTTTTAATACTTGAATACTGATTCAACTTATTTTCCTTTTTTATTGCTATTATGCATTTTTGCCCCTCTCTCATTCATTTCTTTTTGTCTTCTCTTCATGTACTCTAATCCCCTCTTCATGTACTCTAATCCCCTCGTCATGTACTCGTGTCCNGGGGGGGGGGGGCAGTTCATGGTCCAGTCTACCTTTCATTTCCTACCACAAAAGAGAATTATTTATTTTCAATTTAAAAAATACAAAAGTTGTGAAACGAAGATATTCTATTGGACTCCATATACAGAATATTTAAAAATTTAACCTTATTGTAAACTTCCAAAAATATACTCACATATTTTCTCAACTTTATCTATTTCCTTTTTAACTATATTTTCTTCACGAATAGAGAGTAAATCGGACCTTGAGCAAACACTTCTAGGTTTAAATCTTGAAGTAGTTCTCTGGGTGTATTTAACTAACGGTATAAGCTGAGATACAAAGTATGCATTGTCAAAGGAATGAGTAGTCTAAATATAAACATTTACACATGCATAATAAGCAGCGTCTAAGAATCAATACCCCCCCCCCTTAAAAACTTCACACACACACACACCCTAGACCATGTAACCTACAATTACCATTTCACGCTTTATTTACTCTAAACTAAACTTTCTCATGTTTGACGTTGTTTTCACAGGGTTTTGTACTCTTTATTAAAAGTGAAACACCAAAAACATGATAATAATCGTCAAGGTTTTTTAATTAAAGGAGAACAATAAGAGAAAAGATGAAAAGAGAGGAAAACTGTTGAAACACACAAAAACGAGCAGAGAGAAATTTAAAACTAATCCTGATATTGAAAGGTTGAGTTCTGTTGACAAGAATGCTCGAGGGATGAGGAGAAATATTCCTAAACCTGTCTACCCTCCCCCCTCTCAGTTCAGAAAAGTTTAGGGGAGGGAGGGGTATTGGTGTGTGTGAACTAAAATATATAAAGGCAAGGTAATAGATTGAAGGTGTACCTGAATATAAACTCTACAGGAGACCAACCTTAGTATTGTATCAAGCATATTACATATATCTACAAATATATATAATTACACGGCGTATCATAATTAAACACAATTAATTGGTAAACTATAATAGTCTAGGACTGAATATTATAATGGAGGTATTTCTTTTGGAAAGGTTCTGTTGCAATAGAACAAATGAAAGGTTCTTCTGTAAGAAAAAGGAATAAAAAGGTTCTTACAAGAGAAAGGAAATAAAAGTTTTAAGAGAAAGGATTTAAAGGTTCCCCTGTAAAAGAAAGAAAGGAAAGGTTCTTGTGTAAGAGAAAGGAAGGAAAGAGTCTTCTGTAAGAGAAAGAATAAAAGGGTTTCCTGAAAGAAAAAGAAATTAAAGATTCTCCTGGCAAAGAAAGCATTTAGGTTTTTCTTTTAAGAGAAAGGAATTAAGGTTTTCTTGTAAGAGAAAGGAATTAAGGTTTTCTTGTAAGAGAAAGGAATTAAGGTTTTCTTGTAAGAAAAAGGAATTAAGGTTTTCTTTAAGAGAAAGGAAAAAAGGTGCGTCTATAAGAGAAAGGACTGAAAGATTTCCCTCTATGAGTATGCGAAAGGAAAGGTTCTCCTGTAAGAGAAAAGAATAAATGGATATCCTGGAAGAGAAAGGAATGAAAGGTTCTCCTGCTATAGAAAGGTATAGACGATTATTTTAGTAAAATTAGAAAGAGAAGATGGATGAAAGGAAAGAGAAATTAAGGTTCACTGCCTCCGTGACAAATCAAATTTATGTCATTTTCAGAAATAATTAGATTTGACGAATGCAACCATAAGAATTAAATTTCATCATTAAATTTTACATTGAATCCCACTGAATAACAAAGATTGACTGATTGAAAAAAATTATGATTTACGATATTTTGATGAAGGTTGATCCGTGTTATGTTAACAAGGTTTGGTTTCTGTTTTTCTTCATGGATAATATTTCAAACATTCGGTTTCATTGTGATCTTCAAACTTATCATGGTCTGAAGTTAATAGTGTGGACCGGTTCAATGCAACACATGTATTTGTTTGTTTAGCACGTTGTAGGTTGTCGGAGCTAGGTTAAATCAGTATAGGTAGAGTATAGGAGAAAGGATGGATCAGTATAGGTAGAGTATAGGAACTAGGTTGGATCAGTATACGTAGAGTATAGGAGCTAGGTTAGATCAGTATAGGAGCTAGGATGGATAAGTATAGGTTTAGTATAGGAACTAGGTTGGATTAGTATATGTAGAGTATAGAAGCTAGGTTAAATCAGTATACGTAGAGTACAGGAGCTAGGTTGGATCAGTATATGTAGAGTATAGGAGCTAGGTTGGATCAGTAAAAGTAGAGTTTAGAAGCTCGGTAGGAGCTAGGTTGGATCAGTAACAGTAGAGTATAGGAGCTTTAGGATCTAGGTTGGATCAGTATAGGTAGAGTATAGGAGCTAGGTTGGATCAGTATAGGTAGAGTATAGGAGCAAGGATCGATCAGGTTTATCTGCTTAACCAAAAATCTCAAAATAGAGATTAGTTTACTTTTGGTTTCTTGTTATTTCATATTTTTATTTGGCTTTTATTAGTTTTGTTTTAATTAGTCAAGGGAAGATGGTATCAATGTTAAAGATAAGCTGAAATTATCCAGAATAAAATAATTTTAACCGGATATAAAACTTGCATAAAGAGGGAACAAAGAGAATAATTAATAAATTAAGGTTATACATGTAGTTCACAATTTAGATGGTATAAGGTTTAGAGGGAAAAGACAAGGCGGAGAAAATCAAAACTCAGGATAATAGAATCAATATCTGTTAAACATTCGTTTTCTCAATCAATCATTGAACCGCAATACTTCACATTATATCTTTATTTACATTCCCCTAGCTTTAGTTTCATGTACAAAACCTCTTTGTTTTATACCTTCCCGTCTTTAGGGCGAATCCTTCTATCCCAACATTATCTATCTATCTACCTTTCTACTTATCTTTCGATCTATCTAACTATCTATTAATCTATTTATCTATCTATCTATTATTATGATTAAGGTAGGTTGGTAGGGTTTAATAATGATGTATAGTTACCGTGTTTACCGGAGTACAGGGTTGGGTTGGGTTGAGGTCGACTCCGGAGAATTATCTCTTATTATATTAGTCACGGGAGCAGAATCCGTTCCATCGATTAAACTTAAATATTTATCTTTAACACATATCGTTACACAGTCAATTAGGGAGGAAATTATGCTTTACGAAAATTACGGTTTGGAAATATTGGAGAATCTAGGGTTGGATAATATCAGAGATAGTTTTATTACGTTCGATTGTTTCAGAAAGCTTCGTTGAACCATAATCTTTCCTCTTGTTGCAGTGAGATAATTCTGGGTTCAATATTCAGAGAAGATATATTTGATTGGAATAAAAAGGAGACATGTTTTATAGCTAAATCTGTAAAATATATAGTTTGTATTGATTAGAATTGGTTCTGGGTCCCGGTAGGGTTTAACACTCTACTCTAGTCTAGCAAATAGATGTATAGTTACGAGAATACCGATCTTCGTGTTGATAAAATCAAGTTAACTGGTCTCTGCAGGATATAGGATCGTGTAGGACAGGTGTCCTTCTCCTCCTTCTCCTGATATACATCTATCCTCGGCATATAACAGGGGAAAATTTACCGTCAGACAAATCAGAGACATGTTAGATCTCGGGTAGATGTTCAATACAACATAATCAATCCCAGATCTTTCAAACCTTTCTCCGACTCTATCACGTCATTTATCTCACATATATATATATATATATATACAAACCTCAAGGTTTGGATTATCAAGTAAAAATGTTTAATCTCTTGTTGTTTTCTAGGCGAAGATAGTAGATCGGGTTCTGAGTGTAGCGGAGAACAAGATGGAATATCTATCTGGAGAAACCTAGACGAGGGCGGAGTAGCTGCTCATTTGGTCACACCTCCGCCTCAGCTCCAGCTGAGAAAAGGCGGAGTATGGACTAGAGCTCCAGTAGCTGCTGGAGTCAGATTTGGTCCGTTCCTTGGAAAATGGGTTCTGGAACCGGGAAACGAAGATTATGCCTGGGAGGTAGGATATACATTTTCCAAACTTCAATTGAATTTTTGCCACAAACTCTAATTTTTTGGTCCTTATATCTTTGCAACCCAATTTCGGAGACCTTAGATATTTAAAACTATGAATTTTGGTAGATTAAAAAATCAATGTTTGAAATATCAAAGGTGTACACAATCGGGTTGCAAAGATATAGGGATAAGAAAAGTCGAGTTTGTGACAAATCATTTGATGTCTGATGAAGTAAGTTTGATGTAATAACATGAAAGACTTGAAAATAATTTTTCAATAATTGATGTCGATGAAATTTGAAGCCTGGGAGGGTATTGGGTGTGGTCATTTCATTTAGTTACATTAAAACAATTATACTATTTTGACAGAAAAATTGGATGTCCGAAATACAAGCTTCTCTTTGCCTAGTTTACTATAAATATATATATTTATTTGATGAGTGTGCGTTGAAAGGTTGTTTTTGTAAGTATTAGAGTAGGCTTGATATATTCTGTATAGAGACTTGATGGTTCTCCCAACACTCAGAACTCTCCCATACACTCAGAACTCTCCAGATTTATGAAAAATTATCAGATTTATTGTAAACTGGGAAACACTTGAACAGATTTAGTGCTTTCAGTTCATCTTTCTCATACCAAACTGTACAATACTGTACACTTGTGTGTACAAACTAGCTTTCTCATACCAAACTGTACAATACTGTACATTGTATCATTTATATAAAGAACTTCTAGTCATAGCTTTTTCATACCAAGCCATACATATCTATTGCTTGGACATAAAACTGTGTAATATAGAATTCATATTGCTCCAAAATTATAGGCTTTCAAGGGCTTGGGAGTTCGAATTTATCAGTTAGTTTGTGGTTGGTGAATAAGTTTGTGAAGAAGTGAGATAATCTGAGTTTTAATCCTGGTTTTCAATGGTATTCACATAGCGATGTCATTGATCTAAATTTGGACCCACACCAACTATCAACATATGTTAAAATCCCCCCCCCCTTCTCGTCTTTTTTAACTCGTTAGTTAGTTGTCACTTGACTGCCCCCAGAGAAAAATAAAAACGTAAACCTTGTCAGAATTCGAAACAATATTACAGACAAATGAGAAATATTTGCATGGACAGAGAGTTTAAATCCTCCGGAGTTAGGTTTCAGAGCAATATGTCCTGAGAACTATATTTTCTATACAATATACATGCAGATATATAAACTGGAGAACGAAGGAGAGAAATTTGTAAATTGTTTATAAAACATCAATTAATTTTTTAATTTGACTATTTAAAAAAAAGCCAAAGGGGGCCGGTTTCAAGGTAGGTTAAAGATATGCTAGAAAGGCGTTTTTTAAAAGTAAGATTAATATATAAGTAAAAGAAGAAAAATCTCAGGGTAGGATTAAAAGTTATTTATCTTAGGTTTAAAGTTTAAAGTAAAGTTTACAAGATGGAGAATATCATCAGGTAGGATAAAGAGCTAGTAGGTGACTTGTAGGTAGAGAAGGATGGAAGGTCCAGTGCTGATATCTCTATTAGTGTCTGTGAGGTGAAGAAGGAAGGGATTGAATAGGTTCCTAACACCAGGGTTGAATAGGTTCTTAACACCAGAGTTGAATAGGTTCCTAACACCAGGGTTGGATAGGTTCCTAACACCAGGGTTGAATAGGTTCTTAACACCAGGGTTGAATAGGTTCTTAACACCAGGGTTGAATAGGTTCCTAACACCAGGGTTGAATAGGTTCCTAACACCAGGGTTGATTAGGTTCCTAACACCAGGGTTGAATAGGTTCCTAACACCAGGGTTTAATAGGTTCCTAACACCAGGGTTGAATAGGTTCCTAACACCAGGGATGAATAGGTTCCTAACACCAGGGTTTAATAGGTTCCCAACAAGCAGAGTTGAATTGGTTCCTAACACCAGGGTTGAATAAGTTCCTAACAAGCAGAGTTGAATGGGTTCCTAACACCAGGGATGAATAGGTTACTAACAAGTGTTGTGTTGTTTTTTTGTTATTGAAAATTATTTTTAAAAAAATCATTAATTAAATTTATACGAATGGGGATTTGCGGAAGGGAGTGGTGAAGATTCAAAATACAAAAAAAAACAGAATGGTTTGGTAATCAAGACATTATTCTATACGTTCTATTTATATGTTAGGGAGAGGGAGCTAGGAGGGGGTGATATTCTAGGCTGAGAATACCCCCCACCAGACCCACGGTTCATTTATAAAGATCTTTATAAACCTAGTGAATTGGGCAACCACGCAGAAATATCACACAGGAGCAGCAAGATATGCTTCCTAGCTGGAGAATCATTAAACCTTGATCCTGGATAAATTAAACGATCCAGGACACAGCAAACCTTGATCCTGGATACAGTAAACCTTGATCCTGGATACAGTAAACCTTGATCCTGGATACAGTAAATCTTGATCCAGGATACAGTAAACCTTGATCCTGGATACAGTAAACCTTGATCCTGGATACAGTAAACCTTGATCCAGGATACAGTAAACCTTGATCCAGGATACAGTAAACCTTGGTCCTTAATTCTCGATGTATCTTGGATATAAATATATAACATTTATCCTAATTTAATAATTTTTATCTTATCCTCATTTTATCTTTAATGTTCCAAACCTTAATCCTCATTTTATTTTTAATGTTCCTAACTTTAATCCTCATTTTATCTTTAATGTTCCAAATCTTCAACCTCATTTTATCTTTAATGTTCCAAATCTTAATCCTCATTTTATCTTTAATGTTTCAAACCCTGTAATCTTTAATTATTCTTTAATTATCCTAATTTTATCTGTAGTAATTCAAACCTTTATAATTATTTTATCTCTTATGTTTAAAACCTTTATAATCTATCTTTAATGGTTCAAACCTTAATGCTTATTTTATCTATATTGTTTTAAACCTATCTCCCCATTTTATCTTTAATGTTTCAACCTGGATCTTCATTTTATCTTTAATGTTTTAAACCTGAATCCTCATTTGGTCTTTAATGTTTCAGACCTTAATCCTCATTTTATCTTTAATGTTTCAAACCTTAATCCTTATTTTATCTTTAATGTTTCAAACCTGAATCCTTATTTTATCTTTAATGTTTCAAACCTGAATCCTTATTTTATCTTTAATGTTTCAAACCTTAATCCTCATTTTATCTTTAATGTTACAAACCTGAATCTTCATTTATCTTTAAATGTTTCAAACCTTAATCCTCATTTTATCTTTAATGTTTCAAACCTAAATCTTCATTTTATCTTTAATGTTTCAAACCTTAATCATCATTTTATCTTTAATGTTTCAAACCTAAATCTTCATTTTATCTTTAAATGTTTCAAACCTTAATCATCATTTTAGCTTTAATGGTTCAAACCTAAATCTTCATTTTATCTTTAAATGTTTCAAACCTTAATCTTCATTTTAACTTATTCATCAGATCAATTATAAAGACTTCCCTCCTGGAAATAAAATTGCTGGATAAAACCAGAAAAATCAATTTTAAGCTAAATATTGAATCCTTTTTCAAATATTTTCTTATTTTTCTAACTGTGAAAATAATGTGGAGTACCCCAGCTATTGATTAAAAGATGCCACTACAAAAAATTGATTTTTTTTTCGCTAATTATTTTTCAAATTTTCAAAATCTTTTTTTGCGCTTTAATGCCTCTTGAAGGAGCAAAGCCGGGATATTTTTACCGAATATTGTATTAAAAACGTTTAAAACCTTTACAGTGGATTCAACCCAACGTTAACCCCATCCAATCCTGGATACCCAGACCAACCAACTAGGGGGTGTGTGTGATATTTTTCCGTGATCTCATAATATATAATTCCCCCTCCTAGTCCTGCAGCTGCTGGGATTGTATATGTATGAACCATCAGTTATATCCCCCCTCCCCTCCCCTCCCTACCACCACGCCCACAGATACATATACACCAAATTGGATGGAAACAATTACTCACTGTAGTCAGCCGCGAACACTCAATTATCAATTTTTTAGGTTCTGGTTCCCAGTGCTGGTATCCGAGGGTTCCTGGATGCTTCAGAGTTCGGAACCTGGCTCAAGTTTGTCCGGAGACAGAAAGAGAAACAGAATCTGAAACATGTTCTCCTGGCAGGACAAATCTTTTACGAGACTTTGAGAGATATTCGTCCGGACGAAGAGCTTTGTCTAGGAGATAGGGATCCGATCCAGTTGGATGGAGGGGTGGACGAAGGACGACACGAGGAGAGGATCGAGGACAGGGAGGAGGACGAGGCCCTGGAGGTCGAGGAGAACGGAATCAAGTGTCTGGTTTGTGACAAAGTTTTCCCGGATGTTTACATGTAAGTTAAAATCTTTATAGTCAAATCTAATCTAATTAATTATATTCCACAGGACATTTTTTTATTCAGGACTCTTTTTGTCTTTTTTGTTTGAATAACTCCTTCATGTTCCATATTGTGCATAAAAATGTCTAGGTGTTACTTTTCATATTCTCTAGCTATTCAAAATCTAGTATTTACAAAATAAAAATTCTAAGTAAGGTTTCGTAATATCTAAGGTCTAAGTCCAGTTTTCGCATTTATTTATTCCCGCCAAATTTCCAAATCTGAAATTTTTATTTTTATCTTATTTCGTATGTTTTTTTTTGTTTTTTTTACTTCAAAGCAGTTGATGATTTAGTTTTTCGATTAAAACGAGTTAGGTAAAATTTATCTTATTCTATTTTTTCAGATTGGATAAGCATATGGTCGATAACCATAGATACGAACCTGATAAATACAAGTGTGAGCACTGCAGTAAAGGGTTCGCATGGAGACCAAACCTTCTCCGACACAAGATGATACACGGAGAGTTTAGAAGATTTCCATGTGAAAACTGTGATAAAGTCTTCACAGATCCTAGCAATCTGCAAAGACACATTAGAACCACTCACGTCGGGGCCAGATGCCATGCTTGTCCTGAGTGTGGAAAAACGTTTGCAACATCCAGTGGTTTGAAACAGCATACTCACATTCACAGTTCGGTCAAACCATTCAGATGCGAGGTCTGCTTCAAGAGTTACACACAGTTCTCAAACCTATGCCGACATAAGCGAATGCATGCAAACTGCAGAATGCAGATCAAATGCCATAAATGCGGACAGGCATTCAGCACCGTTACATCCCTGTCTAAACACAGAAGATTCTGTGATTCAACTCCGTCTCCGTTTCTCCACGGTCCTCCTAAACATCCCCTAGATCTACCTGGACAAGAACACATGGGAAACGGTAACGGACACTTCAGTCATTTACCTGGAAGCATGAACAAGTTTGGACCCGGAGCATCCTTCCTACAACCTCCCTTTTCTAGTCATCTACAGAACCTGTTCGGTCCTAACGGGAATACAGGGTTTCCTTTCCTGCAGAACCCCCACATGATGTTCCCGACCATGCTGCAGCGAATGGCTATGAACCATTTGAATGGTAAACCAATCCTGTCTCCTAACACAGTTTCTAGCCCTGAACCCGTGGAGAACCCAACCATGGTGGACAACAAGTCCTCAATCATCACCAGCACACACAACAAACTTTTCCAGGAGAGAAAACTGGAGAATATTAAATCTAATATCTCAGATTTCCGGAGTATAGAGGAGTTCAGACAACGACTTCTTAATGGAAATTTTAGAAAGAATTGTGACAGCGAGGAGGGTTCAGGTGTTAACAATGAGATAGAAAACAGTTTAGAAAAAGTGCAAATAAAGAAAGAAGTTGAGGACAATACCAACCTGCAAGAAAGAATCCAGGGATTTGACGTTAATAGGAACAAGTCTGACAGAGAGCCGGAGAAGCTGGTAAAACCCAAAGAAAAACCTCTAGATTTGAGCACACCAAGAAAGGACGAAGTTCCGGAGAATGGTCTTCAATCCGATACAGAAATAGAGGGATCATTTCAAGAGAACAGTAGAAAAGAAGAGGGAAAATTGTTCACAAAAGAATGTATTGAAAGAGCAGAATCCCCCCGAGACCAGGGATCTGAACCAAGAGAACTAGAAGAGCCTCGGGGATTTAAACCTGTGGGGTCAGGAAAGTCTTTTGTTCCCGTAACTCAAGTTTCCCTTTTCCCGAAATCCTCTGAACAGAATTTACCCTGCTCCCAACCCTATCCACTCCCATCCCTTCCTCCCCAGGATTCAACTCTACCCTTCCCTCGACCAGTCAACCCTTTCCTACTGGGAGCAATGTATAGAATGCAGCAACCTCCTTATTCATCCTTCCATCATTCACTCTCCTCCAACCTTCCTCCGATAGCACCACGCCCTATGCCCTTTCCTTCTCCCTTCATGTCTCCCCTCCATTCTTCTCCTTTTCTACAAAACTCCATTCCCTTGCTGGGAAGGTTGGGATGCTATCAGGATATCCTCTCCGGGTCCCATAATAAGTCCAAGGATAGATATGCTTGCAAGTTTTGCGGGAAAGTTTTCCCTAGATCTGCAAACCTTACCAGACATTTACGAACACATACAGGAGAGCAACCCTATAAATGCAAATACTGTGAGAGATCCTTCTCCATATCTTCAAACCTACAGAGACACGTTAGGAACATACACAACAAAGAGAAACCCTTCAAATGCCCTCTTTGTGACCGATGTTTTGGACAACAAACAAACCTTGATCGACATCTCAAGAAACATGAAATGTTCTCCGATCCATCGGAAATCGTTGATAGCCCTGAGAGTGTGAGAACTGAGGACGAGATCGGATACTTTGATGAAATCCGTAGTTTCATGGGTAAAGTAGTGGATAAGAACAGTTCTCTGGACGTATCTGAGAACGAGGTTGATGTTGAAGATGATGATGAGGATGATGACATAATCACAGACATGGACTAGTCTTACATATCAAACTTTAGTGCAAATATCTATATATTATTTATAACTGTTATATCCTAAGTTGAATTAAATTATAAAGTTTCCAGGGGAAACTACTACAAATGTCCCCCCTCCCCCCCTCCCTTCCTAATTATAACCACACTTGCAAATTCGGCACTGTAAGCACTCTGCACACATTCTTTTCCAACTTGTTTATAATATATTGTCTAGATAACTTAATACAAGATATACATCTTCCTTTGCTCCATACTAAACATTCTTGCTGTTCTATCTAGTTTGCTTATTCAATGTTTTCAATTATGAATTATTACGAAAATAAATGATACAAATACAACCTCTTGGTTCCAGGTCATAAACTGTAGTTCTTCAGGTTTCAAACGCTATAAATATATTTCTATTTTAATCAGGTTCTGTACAGTGCAGAACTCGAGTATACTTCTATACCTAGCTACCTTTCTTACGTCGCCATTAAACCAATAGGAATCAAATACTTAAACGATTCTTTGTTATTTTTGGTAGACTTTGGGAGAATTTCCTTCATACAAAAATGAAGCCATTAGTTTTACCATTTCTTAGATGTGGGGCTATTTACGTTTACCACAACAAAAAAGGATTAAGTTCGACTTGATAATAAAATTTAAAAATAACACATACTATATATTTAGTTGATTTTACAGAATATAAGGTTAAATAACTGGTATGAACTTATGGATAAAAGGTATGATAGGATGAGTAAAGGGTATTGTAGGATGGATAAAGGGTATGGAAGGAGGAATTAAGGGTAAGGTAGGATGGATAAAGGGTATGGTAGGATGAATAAAGGGTATGGTTGGATGGATAAACGGTTTGGTAGGATAGATAAAGGGTATGGTAGGATGGATAAAGGGTATGGCAGGATGGATAAAGGATATGGTAGGATGGATAAAGTGTATGGTAGGATAGATAAAGGGTATATGGTAGGATAGATAAAGGGTATGGTAGGATGGATACAGGGTATTGTAGGATGGATAAAGGGTATGGTAGGATGAGTAAAGGGTATTGTAGGATGGATAAAGAGTATGGAAGGATAGATAAAGGGTATGGTAGGATAGATAAAGGGTATGGTAGGATGGATAAAGGGTATTGTAGGATGGATAAAGGGTATGGTAGGATGAGTAAAGGGTATGGTAGGATAGATAAAGGGTATGGTAGGATGGATAAAGGGTATGTTAGGATGAATAAAGGGTATGGTAGGATAAATAAAGGGTATGGAAGGAGGGATTAAGGGTATGGTAGGATGAATAAAGGGTATGGTAGAATGGATAAACGGTTTAATAGGATAGATAAAAGGTATTATACGATGACTAAAGGGTATAATAGGATGGATAAAGGGTATGGATGATTAAATCAAGGACATAGAAGAATGGATAAAGGGTATGGTAGAATGACTAAAGGGTATGGTAGAATGACTAAAGGGTATAGAAGAATGAATAAAGGTTTTGGTAGGATGGATAAAAATATGGTTGGATGAATAAAGGGTATAGAAGGATGGATAAAAGGTATGGTAGGATAGATAAAGGGTATGGTAGGATGGATAAAGGGTATGGTAGGATGGATAAAGGGTATGGTAGGATGGATAAAGGGGTAGGATAGATAAAGGGTATGGTAGGATGGATACAGGGTATTGTAGGATGGATAAAGGGTATGGTAGGATGGATAAAGGGTATGGTAGGATGGATAAAGGGTATGGTAGGATGGATAAAGGGTATGGATGGATCAATTGCATGGATGGACGAGGGTAAGGTGTATGTATACACGGATATGTGGATAGTGAGTACTGTATATTTCCAACAGATTGTACCTCAGACAAGAGAACTGTCGGTGACTGTTGTAAATTTTACATTGAATTATTTCCAAAAATATGATAAACTTTCTGGAAACAAGTGTTAGCTTACATTTAATAATTTAAACCCACCTTTCAATCTATCGAGCGTTTATTAAATGAGTTTAAAAGTTGCCATTTTCATGAAACGCAAAGTTATTTGTGAATGAAACCAATGATCTGATATTTGTGAATGAAACCAATGATCTGATATCTGTAAATTAAACCAATGAACTGATATTTGTAAATGAAACCATTAATCTGATATTTGTAAATTAAATCAATGATCTGATATTTGTGAATGAAACCAATGATCTTATATTTGTGAATGAAACCAATGATCTGATATATGGGATTAAACCAATGATCTGATATATGGGAATAAACCAATGATCTGATATTTGTAAATTAAACCAATGAACTGATATTTGTGAATGAAACCAATGATCTTATATTTGTGAATGAAACCAATGTTCTGATATATGTGAATGGAATCAATGATCTGATATATGGGATTAAACCAATGATATATAATAAGAAGGAATAAGTTCTCCACCTACTGGTAAGTGTGTCGGGGGTCGGGAGTGTCGCTGACACGCTGTAGATAATATTTCTTATCTAAGGATATTATTAGTTCTTAGCTTGTAATCACTAGTTAATAAATACAGTTCAGATCATCCCTTGGGGGGATCTAATATAGTTCTAATCTATCTATCTATCTATCTATCTATCTATCTATCTATCTAGCTATCTATCTATCTATCTATCTATCTATCTGTCTATTTATCTATTAACAGAATTCATAGTTTATAATATCTGAGGTCTACCACATGGGGTTGCAAAAAAGTAGGATTTAGAAAATCAAAGGTTGTGGCAAAGACTCAATTTTTTTCGCTTCCTTTTAAAGTTTTTTTTTCACTGACACAGTTTAAAGAGGTACCGTTGTGAATCCCCCTTGATCTATAATTTGAGAATCAGCTAAAATTACGTGTACAGTCCCTTTAAACAATGATCATTAATCCATTAATCAATCTACTGATCCCTCCAAGATATTTGGGACTCAACCTCCTGCAGATCTAAACAAATGTTACATCAATGATAAATGTTAAGTCACAAAAGACATAAATAAACAAATATTGTTTAATAAAACTTGTTTCGTTCAAACATTGAAATATTGTCTTGTTTTCAATATCTTTTCTTTGTGTTTAGTGGCAGGAAATCTGATACAATTATACTATAAATTCCTAGTTGACAGTTAAACAAGGTAGTTTAACTATATGTTGGATCTGTTAAAAGATAATTGATTACTAATTAATATTCTGTATTCTCTAGATGAAAGAGTGAACTAAGCATATGTGTAAAATTGATTGAAAGGATAAGGTTTCAAACTCAACTAATTACGGTTTAATAGACCGAAACTGTTTTGCTTAACCTTTCCTTTACTCCCAAGGGAAGATATACCNATATTGAGAGATTGAGGAGAGATGGTGGAAGGAAGAGGAGAGATGGTGGGAGGAAGAGGAAAGGAGGAGGGAGAAAGAGGAGAGATGGTGGGAGGAAGAAGAGATATGGTGGAGGGAAGAGGGGAGATGGATGGTGGAAGGAAGAGGAGAGATATTGGGAGATTGAGGAGAGATGGTAGAAGGAAGAGGAGAGATGGTGGAAGGAAGAGGAGAGATGGTGGAAGGAAGAGGAGAGATGGTGGAAGGAAGAGGAGAGATGGTGGAAGGAAGAGGAGAGATGGTGGAAGGAAGAGGAGAGATGGTGGAAGGAAGAGGAGAGATGGTGGAAGGAAGAGGAGAGATGGTGGAAGGAAGAGGAGAGATGGTGGAAGGAAGAGGAGAGATGGTGGAAGGATGAGGAGAAAGGGCGGGGTTTTGTATTCACAACTTTAACCTTTAGTTCCACAGTTTGACAACAATGCATTGACTGCTCCTAAACCTTTCTTAGAATCCTGTATTATGCAGAGCACCGTCTCATTCTCTCATACCAGGCGTATATACTTATACAAGAGGAGGAAATTAGACTTGGTCCAAATATGAAATTTATATATTTCGGCTTAGATTAGTTTCATATTTAAAAGTTTCAAAGATAAACAAAGATTTGATATTTATTTGATATTCGTTCTTTGGATTCAGGAACACTGAAAGGGACCGTAAGCGTGATTTCAAATGACCCTCCTAAGAGGCAGGGAAGGCACACCACACCTTTTTTTCGTCCGACAACAAAGGACGTCACAATTCACCATCATTTCGTCCGACCACACTTTTTTTCGTCCTGCATTGTTTACATTTTTTAAAAGTACTTCACATTATTTTATTAGAATTTTGAGCCACGTCATATTGTGTATAAAGGTTTTAAATATTTTATCCTGTATTCTTTTAAGAAGAACATCTTATGAAGGTACAATACGCATAAAACAATTCATAGAAATTTTTATTTCATACTACCTCGAGCAAATCAAAACCATTTGCTATGTTCCTTACCAAAACATGTAAATTTTTAGTTTTAGATTCTAAAAAATCCCAGTCACAATCACCTAAAAGTTGCAATTTAGGAGTAAAATAAGAAAATAACAGAAAAGTGTGTGGTCTGGACAAAAAATAGGTATTTTCCGTTTTGTGCTAAATAAAATAAATAAAATCGTTTTATTTTTCTAACAAAGTGCATTTTAAACATAATCAAATCATATTGAATAACATCACGTTGCCTAAGTTTGAAAAAAGCACTATAGGATAGAAAAATATACATAATAAAACACAGAAGCACGCCCGGACGAAAAAAAGGTGTGGTCGGAAGAAATAATCGTATCGTAAATTGTGACGTCATTTGTGGTGCGGACGAAAAAATGGTGTGGTGCCCCTGTACCCGCTCCTCCAAGCAAAGATAACAATACCTGAGTTACAACTGTACCCTTAAAAGCTTTGTCGAAGATCAAGAATGAATTAGATATCCGTGTTTATTATTTGGAAATCTGGTGATTTTTTTTATTGTGACTTGCCCATTTCCACTACTGGAAAACGTTATAGAAATACACACTAGTTAACTGGACTATTTCAAATCTTAACTCCAAAATTTTATGAGCCTCACTATAGAGAACAATTGAATTATCTTTTTTTAAAGATAAACATCAGCCAAATTCTAGGTTAAAAAGGTTTTTCTTTTCTGAGGTTGCGTGTTTTTCTAGAGAGAGGTTTCGCGGATTTTGTGATAATGAAATAACCAATCTATATATACATAATTTGCTTGTCTGTCTGTCTGTTTGTCTGTCTGTCCGTTTGTATCAAATAAACGTCAAAACGGCTGAACCGATCAGGCCCAAATGTTTTGTGGAACCTCGCGTGACCCCAGGTAAGGTTTAAGAATGATCTTATTTTCAAAAATTAGCCTCAATAAAAATTCTATTTTTCACAATTTTCAAAATCCACGATAAAATTTTTTTTAAGGGTAGTGGGTGTGAGGCAAATATTTAG